AAAAAAAAAAAAAAAAAAAAATTACGTATCTTCTCTCCATCGAGATGTCGAAATTCCTCGATGCGTGACACACGTTCGTGCGTGTGTACACGCTCGTGCAAGTTGCGTTAATGAATTCCATATGTAACGCGATTAATATACGATTACCGAGTTAGACGCGTCGCGATGTCCAATTAGAGGTATGATTTATCGCGCGAGATCGGAACTCGAGCGAGGATCGCGTGCGCGCGCGCCATGCCTACACGCCGATCGCCATAACTCTCTCTCCGCTTGGGAACAAAAGGTAGGAAATTCCCTGGCAATGTTCCACCGGCTAATTATCACTGTTCGCCGTGGCCGCGGCCCTCCCCTCCCCTCCCCTCCCCTCCCGTCAACTATTCCTACGGATCGCCGCGATTAATCAATGACACGGCCAATCGCGCTCGATATCGGGTTCCACGAATAATTAGCGTCGTGGTATCGCGAGGATGTTGCATAATTCCATGGCCACGCGCCACGTGTCCGCGAAAAGTGTCAATCACCCAAGTCCAAGTTTTCTTTCCTCTCTCTCTCTCTCTCTCTTCGAAAGGAGGAACACCAAGGATCTCTTCTCTTTCTCGCGCGCCCGTGAAACGTCTCGATTATCATCGGAGAGTGAATTTACACGTTAGCAACGCGTAAACCGCGACTTTCTCTCGGTCGTGGCACACAACCGATTCACACGAGCGATCGCAGCTCGGACGACGATCCACACCTGATAACAATTGAAGATAGTTGACAGCGTCCCGAAGTAGCTGGAATCCAACGAGCATGACTTATCGTCCACGATTGCTGCGTCGCATCACGAGAGACCTTCGCGGGATCAATCTTTTTCCTGTTTCCGCCTCCCTCTTAACCCGTCCTCCTTCGTTCGATCGACCGAGGGATCCATTTGCGAATTCTCGATTCCGAAGGTCGTTATCGCGTCCTTCTCTCGCGGATCGAATTTTCGATTCGAATTTCGATTAATTAAAAAAAGAGAAACGAAATCGATGGACGCGTTCGTGCCAATCTTAATCTCGAGGCGGAGAGACGTTTGTACGCGAACCAGCTTTCGAGCCGATCGGTTTTCGGTTGGAAGGAGAATAGAAACTCGAGGGGATGGAATCGCGATAGCGGAAGAAGTCGGGCCGCGTACACTCGCAGTGACGCGCATCGGTTGACTGAGGCTCGGCTCCGGGCCCCGGCAGGGCCCTGGGCCCGGTCGAGTTTGCCGCTTGCTTTTCTGCCTGCTGCTGCTTAGCCGCACACGCGCCAACCGAGCACAGCTTGCCAAGCAGACGGTCGCTTCACCTGCGTACCGCCGCCTTTTGTTCCACGCACCCCTCTACCTCGAGAACGCCCCTCTTTCGCTCGCGATCTTTCCTCCTCCTGTCCTTTCCCGACTACCGGCTACATTTATTTTTTTCCCCCCCTTTCCTTTCTTTCGCCCTACCATCCGATATAACTATAATATCCCGCATTTTTTCAATACCTTCCTTTCTTCCATCGAGAGTTAAAAGTTTATCGATTCGTCGTATCGGACCATGTTCGAGTAAAAAATCGGCCGATTCATTCTCGTTCTCGCGCGATAAATATGAAAATTTTGAGGAAGAGAGAGAGAGAGTCAAAGAGTATATCCTCGTTGAATTTAAGAACCAAGTGAGATTCGACGCACTTCCTTTCCATCTCGCTCGCCCGTTCGATTCTTGCCGCTACGAAATCACCTATCGATCGGGATACAGCGTCTGTGTTTATGGAAATTCGTTCGTGGCCACAGCCCGTAAAGGATCGAGAGAGCGTGTTATTAAGGCGTGCAGTTAGCCGGCACACGCCTCGACGGATGGCCGGACCGGTGCACCTGTTTCGGCAAAAGGATCTGGTCGGACCACCTTACCCTTCTCCCCATTCTCTCCGTTTCCCTCACTCCTCCGACCCCTCCTATTCCTCCTCGACTCGAAGGAGTCGCGCGATCGAGGAACGCAGCCGAGTCGAAAAAATTATCTTTCCAACTGGACGAACCCCCCATCGTTTCCTTCCCTCCTTCTCGACTCGAATCGAATTCTCTCTCGCGAACGAAGAACGTGTAACGAAGTGAATCCGATCCTCGCGACATCCGTTCCCGTGCGTCCCGCCACCGGATATACGCTGTTCGAACGGCGTACGTGGGACACGTCCTTGCGTGGAAACAGGACGACTCGTGGAGGAGCACGATTTTACAAAATTTACGAGTTTTCGTAAGTTTGGAATATACGCCGCGGCGACGAGCCAGCCCGTTAAAACACCGCCGATTAAACTCGAAACGTTTCTAACCGTATCGTATTTGCAAACGTTGTTTGTTACGACAATGGACGATTGTTTCGCGGCGTGGAACGGATATATAATTCTCCGTTGCTTCTAATCCCTTTCGCTCGATTGATACGATTTTTATGCGATCGATCGTGGCAAGAGACAAAACGTTGCTCGAAGGAAAGGAAAGATTTCGTCCCGAGCGAATACGACACCCTCGACACCTGGTTGGCTTTGGAACGAGATAACGAGATTACCCGTTCGAACGGAGTTTTTTCAACGAAGGAAGAAGGAGGTCGCGAATGGATACATTCTCGTGGAGGCGAAACGCGTCGTCCGATAGGACAAAAGACGCCGAATAGGGAAACGATGAGATTGATCGTTAAGGCGACCCAGATTCTCTGAAACGCAACGATGTTCTGGCTCGCTTGCCACGCTTACCTGGAACACCGCCTCGTTGAAAAGTCACCGTTGAGGCAATCGTCGTCGTTGCACAACCGATCGATCACAGCCGGGCTTCGCTCGCCGGTTATGACGGTTAATTTGCATCCGCCGAAGAATGCTTCGAGAAAAATCGGGCTCGAAAGTTTTCGGATCAACGTTTCGCCAATAAATATATTTTTGCAAGGATTTTTTGGAGGAGGACAAAGAAATTTCGGAATTTCTCTGGAAGTGGAGGAAGTGGCAGACAGGTGCCGGAGGCGATGCCAGACCTCCCTAGGGTCCCCTAACGCGAAATAATCCTCCAAACGAATTCGAGCACTCCTATTTCGAAACCCCTTCTTCCACAACTCCGCCATTTCCTCTTTCTCGTTCGCGCGCGTAATAAAAATGTAAACAAACGCAGCAACCGAAGAGGCAAGAATAATTTGGTCAATTGCAAAATCGAGTCCCAACAGGGACGAAAGGAACCGTGAGCAATCGGCTGCGATCCAGGGGCCCGCATAACGAAACAAATTGTCGGACAAATTGACGAAAGAAAAGGCGATTAAATATACGAGGCGCATCCGTTCCGTCCGCTTATCCGAAAATTGTCAGTCACAGTATGCAAACGCGAATTTCCCTCGTAGCTACGGATCGACGTATTTATTAAGGAGGTCGACTTCTCCCCGGGGAGGGGACGGAAGTTCTCCTTTCAGTCAAAACCGGAAGTTTCGCCCAACTCCGAGCAAGTTACCTGGAAGGAGAGCCGCTACTCGCTAACTTTCCAGTTTCTCTCAACCGAGGGGAGTGAGAAAGAGAGACTCTGCGCATCGCGAATGAAGAGCAAACATTTAACTGGCGCTCGTAACCGCGAAACCCGTTGATATCGTGAAAGAAACCACGCCGTTTAAT